TGCAGAATATGGTGAGCCATCGATGGCGCGGTACCCCGACCCCGGGAAAACGGGAAAATTTGAAGAACCCCATGATCCAGGCGACAACGGCAGCTGCCCGTAACTGTGTGGATAAAATGAATGCTGTTGCTGCTGATAACTGGGCAAAGGTTGTTTGCAAGCAATGCAAGTGGTCTGGTGAAATGCTAAAGCCAATGTCTTTGTTCAACGCGTAAGTCATCGACTTAGACGGTACAGGAATCGGAAGGTGACAAGACTCACAGAGAAAGGGTCTTCCATACCGCACCAAATCCGCACCTAACGGGTTCAAGTTCTTGTTATACTCGTTAATATCAAACGAATCTTGTGATGCTTGTGAGAATAAATCCCTCGGCCACCCGCCTTCTTATGTTATTTTCGTATATTCTGCCCGTCAACCACTACGCACCGTCTCCATCCTTTACTCGAAGCCTCACCAGAGTCCCCGCTGTCAGAACAGGAATAGATTTCCCCGTGGCGCTTCTGATTCTCTTCATGATAGGCTAGCCTTCTGAGCTAGATGTTTCACGAGGGCTCGAAATGACGAGAGTCTAGACCCGGTGCCTGCCCTTTCAGTTCGACCTTTTGAACGTTGTCGTGCACAGAAAAGTGGTTCTGTCAACGCCAAGGTTTAATACCAGAACTCCTGGGTTGAACATGCGTCAGTGGCATTGTCAGAAAATACAGTTTTCTGCTGGTTTTGGAGTCAGGGAGACCTAGTGCAACGGTACAGTAGAATCGCCCCTAGCAAGAGCAGATGTCGCTTCCTTGCGGAGCACAGTCTCCCAAACACGCACGTACAACACCAAACAATTACTCGGTGTGCGGCGAGTTGGTTGCCAGTGAAGACAGAAAGAGAGGCAGGGATGTATTTTGTGGGTCGAACTTCCTTGCCCATGTCTCATATTGTTAGCGTACAATGACCTCGATTTTTTGTTTACGGAAGTTAGTTGAAAAAAGTGGAGCCTGCCCCCGGCGAAGGCCGGGATTCTCTTTAGAAAATTGGATACAAGCTGATCAGATCTCCTATTGTTCCCCAACTAGATATCAGAAATGTGGACTCAGGTTCACGCGCACCAGAAAAAGCTACCGAGAAGAAAAACGGGGAACCAGGGACTTTTGAGTGATGAGCTGGCCAATAGAAGGTGAGATCACTTCACGTCGTCTGGGTGCAGGATCATAACGAGTGACCAACGCAACTCCGGGCATTCGAAAGTAGAAATGGGCTTTATAACCCAACATTGAGCTGCGCTTCTGGCTTGATATTGTATAACCAGCTATACCGGATCTTTGGCGGGAAATTGTGGACCGGCGTCAACAGAATACACGTCGAGACATATCCCCCAATACACTTTCGTGGCGTCAACAAAATACACGTCGACATATCCCCCAATACACTTTCGCATAAATCCGGGTCCTTTCTTCATGCAAATGCACATGATGAATCAACCAGAGAGTGCTCAGGGCCTTCCGCCCGGACAACAGCCGTACGGTGTCCCTGCATCATATCATGCTCAGCAAGTCTTTGCACAACAACAGATGCAAGCTCACGCGCATGCGATGCAACAATTTCGCGACAATTGACGGGAAGGCCAAGAAACCAGGCTTGGAAAAGTCATGCAGAACGCCTTGTTCCCAGGCGTACAAGAGTTGGTCGACAGTCTGGCCACCAAAAACGATGAGCATAGGCAAAAATTGAGCGATACACGGGATGACCTGACCTCGACGCTGCAGTCAATTCTGCAAAGAATTGAGCGACACACGGGATGACCTGAACACGACGCTGCAGTCAATTCTGCAAAGGTGGACAGCTACCAGGAGAGCACAGCCAGCCAAATGGGAAATGTACTTGCGAATATCCAGGTAGTACAAAATGAGCATCAGCATTTACAGCAGTATTTGTCAGAATTCCGAGAGGAGATTCGGGGATTAAGAACAAGACAAGAAATCCAGGATCGAGAGCTTTCGGGACGGATTGCCAGGCTCGAGAAGGCTACGCAAACGCAGCTTGATAACATTCCAATTCAAGTTGCCAAACTGGTCACTGAGAGCGTCATTAAGATTACTTCAAGCCAAAATATGAACGAAGAGCTGCTTCGTCAGGTCTCTGCACTCCTACAAACCAGCTTGGCGTGGTTCGTACCCACTGTGAACGAGTCGAGAAGGGAGACGAGATCCCACAGGAAGAGAGCTGGTGATGGAGTAAAATCTGCGCCGCCATTTGTACAGGTTGTACAGACGCTGTAATCAAGGCGCTGAGAGAGGAATTGTCGATCACAGACCTCGACAGGACGACTTTTGAAGGGGGCAGGACGATAAAGGGGAAACGGGCGGCCATCGGAACAAGAATAACATCGAAGCGACGAAAACAAGGTTAGAAGAGCAGGCTATCGCCGTCAGTGGCTATTTAGACCAGGGATATAAGCTGAAGATCAAGATGCTCTCTTTCCAAAAACGGGTGAGGTTGTTTTGTAGGTCAATGTAGGGCACCTATCGTATTATTGGACAAACATGATACTTATACATCCTTCAGTACAGTAACTAGAAGCTGACGATGTAAATACATGCTGAGCACACTGATACACATGATGGGTGCTAAATAAGGTACATTCCATGGGAAGACACATTTTTGACACTGGCCCGAACGTCATAGCCACAAAGCTGATATTGGCGCCAATCTCCTCGCGGTCAGCCGCTTTGCATTCAGAATCCAAGGGGAAAAGCTTGAGTTCCCCAATTTTCCCCGAATCTCCTCATAAAGCCTGTCTAAATGGCTTTAAAACCAGATTTTGTTGTCTGCCGCAGCCCATAAGATGGCGAGAGCTCCGTGGTCTGCAACTGCTTTGATCGTAGCACAGCTGCCGAACCGAGCCTCTCACTAAATCCGCTTTAAACAAGAAGCATCTGGAAGATCACTTCACTCTGGTATCGCATAAATAGCTATTGTTGAGAAGCCAAAGTGAAAATACAGTATGAAGAAAACAGTAAAATTCTGTCAGCCCAGGGTGTGTGAACAGGGTAGTCGTGGACGAGGCGGGTTGAGCTTTAGCTAGGCCACACGGCTTGAAGCATGCCATGGAGATCTATGACCCGAATCGCTCAATCCAAGTGGATATGTTAGTAATGTTGGAGCAGTTCTGGGTAGTCGGAGAGGCAAGTCCAGAACACAACAGGAAAGTGAGAGCTTACAACCAATCTTGCACATGACTTCGAGGAAACCTTACTGCAATACATGGCCAATTTGTGTGTATAGCGAGTTTCCGTGACATGAGATGATATATATCTGATGATGGCAAAAACCTGGTGTCAATCTCCGATCTAATTTTTTGCTTGCTTTATCGGGAATCAGCATAATCCTTGCTGCAATTATGTTTCAATACAATGATGTTACATTAATATTGGCAGGTGTGATTACTGTATGAACCGTCCAAACCAAAAGATAAACGTTGATACCACATACAACACTTCTATCCTAATCGTCTCTCGATTTACCGCTGTCCACCAATACACACCAATATATATACCCTGCCCGCCAAGGTAAGCAATGGATGCGCTGGCCAGTTTCTTGTAGTAATCTACACATCAGAGGAAACAGGCCAGTGTATGGATCAAGGGCTGACAGATTTTGTCAGACATCAAATGAGATTCCGGATGGTTGGTAATTGCAGGATTCTAATACACGTGGGCTTCCGTCAGAAATATGATGGCACTATTATGAAGCAAAATGTTGTGATATATTCTTGTCTGTTCTGTTCCATTGTCTATGTTGAAGAGTTGAGGGTTGAGGTCTTTTATCTTTACTTGCCAACGACCCGAATGAACGACCTGAATTCATTCAGGTCGTTGGCGAGCGTTCACATTTTGTAGCCACTCAGTACTAACAGCTTCAGGCATCCATTTAAGTTCTTTCATAGGAAACATCATATTATCAAAGATTGGTCTGGAGTCTTCAATGCTTCTCGCAGATTCGGCCACATGAGTAGTCGAGAAACGTACCTGCTCTCCTAGAGAGATATTTTATTCATGTTCATGTCCAGGCCGAGTATAACAGTACAGGAATGGCAACAGAACATCACCGATAAAGCTCGCACATATGACCAAGAAGCTCTACAAGTAATGCAGCGACTATCACAGTGCAGTAAAGCGGCTTGTTCTGAGCAGATACAATTGCAAAGGACAATTGACACCTTAACCGCGAGACTTGTTATAGGAGAGATGAAAATGTCGCACGAAAACGTCGCAAATCGGCATTCAGCTATCGGATGATTGATTTTTAGGTTTGCCACGTTGTGACCGTACGAATTTGTTTCGCATTTCAACCATAACGGCTTCGTTGCTGCTGTTACGAGTATCAGGCACCATTGGAGAACTAACTCCGCGGTGCAGAGATAGAAAGTCCGGGGAAAATGCCTGAGGTCGCCACCAACAGGGGGGCAAACCATGTGATTCTTAGGCTATTCGCTGTTAGGAACAAGGAGGGCGTTATCAAAAGCAGCAAGTGCCAGATAGCCGAATTCATGAATTTTATTACTAGTGACGGTAAGTACAAGGGCACGAACAAGGTCG